TAAAAAAACTTTATGTCTTTCTTCACACTTCTATTCACCTATATACTAAATTTTGTATTCATCATTTTGGCGTTTCATAAACGAGTTTATTTTTTTATGTGGACCAACCTTTACTGCCATTGCGCTCAAATTATACTTGAAAACACAATCAGTTATCAATCTACACATTTCACCAACTATAAGGCTTCTCCGTACATTCCCTTCCCTGACGTTTCGCCTATGTCCTTCAAACGACAAACCTCGGCGAATTTGGCCACTCACCCATGAAAAGAGACACTACGCTCCAATCTCTCCTCACTTTTCTATAGCAATACATACTTCCTACAGGCACTGCACTAGTCTATATAAAGCTACACAAATAATCAATCAATCAAAAACATTCACAAACTATGCTGCCTTGAGTTCCCATTGAGACAGCAAACAGGTCAGGTGGGAGAACGCTCAGGGCATTCACATGGAAAGGAGTGTGTGTGTGTGTGTGTGTGTGTATGTGCAAAGTCTGACATGAAAGACCTGAAGATTATCAAAGAGATTTAAGAAAATAAATTGGCTTGACTCCTGTTGGAGGAAGTTGAAAGAAGGATTACTGGAGAAGAAAACAGATTGTTTAATGGCCATACTCTCTGACTCTGGCCCTTTAGCTCTCGGATCATTTCCTTGTGGGCACACTTACATCCAGTCCAAATGTGTCCAATCCTCCCCTTTCCCTCTTTAATTTATCCAAGTCTTTGTCATCCCAGGCAAGGGAGTGAGACTGCGGGAAGATGGCCCATTAAAGATAACCCTCGTCTCTCCCAGTGTGCCCAATCCGACTCCCTTTAGCCAGTACAGGATCAAAAATCCTCTTCCTTTTTCACTCAGTGTAACACAAAACAAGGTTCACCAAGCAAGGAAAACTAGGAATTAACCAGACCGTCCTGGAGAGTCCCTTAAACTGATTCTCAAGTATCTCCAACTATTCGCCCTGTCTTCACCCTCGTTTATACTTTTCCTTGATCTCCACTTTCATGGTGGGATGTTAAAAGGTTTAGGTAGAAAATGTTATCCTGTAAAGAAATGAATAGAGTGGGAAGATTTTTTTTCTTGCTTTTGCAGTCAGGGTTTCATGTAAAAGCAAAAAGGATTACAGAAACTGACATTTTTTTGCTTCTAAAATGAGAGAATGTGCCCGTGGGCGTGTATGTTTGTGTAAGTGTGAAGTAATGGAACTTGTACCTTCCATTACTTGGCTTATCACTGCACTGAAGGACCTTGATTCATTTTATTTCATAGAATTCAAAACTGCTTGAATGTTAAGATTTGCCTTTGTTGATTGTGATTTCTAACTACTTCTTCAGAAGGCTTATAAAAGTTCTGCTGATATTTCCTGATATATTGTACTTTTGGCTTTAAAGCTGTTTTATACTGAGCCTTTCTTATCTACATAGATATCACTTTTATTACCTTCACTTTAGTTCAGATCTTTTTTTTCACATATGTCCTATGGTCTTTCTTAGCCCCATAAGTCTAAAAGCACATGCCTCCAACTAAAAGGATCAAATATTTAGACTCACTGAGGCATAAAAACCAAGACATTGCTTTCTTTAAAAACACATTTTTCAAATGTTTGTAGATTTAAAAACAAACAGTATAAAGTTCTCTCATATTCTCCTGCCCCATGAGTCCACAAAACTTGTTAATTATACAGAGGAAATTGAATGTGAACATTATGTCCAGAAAAGAAAAAATAACTAAAGATGTAGGTGCTTGAAGAAGAAATAGGCAAATTTATAAAAGACCGAGCTTACTTATAAAAGGAATTAAATAAGAAAAGATCAGGATATAGAGATAAATAGAGTGGAATTTCTATTTTTCTATATTATCAGAAGACCAGGCATGAGAACACTGTCTCGTGAGTCTTAGAAAGTCAGATCATTTGGCATCCATCAGTGCCATTAAGAATGAAAATTGTCTTTTTTTTAACCACTGCAAGCAACTATAGAACTATAGAGTTGAAAGATGCTCTTGATCTGATGCCTTAAAGCAAATCCCCCAGCCTTTATGCTATCCCTCCTGAACTGCTGTCAGCACTTTGGTATTGAATAGGCCTTACAGTTCTGAAGTTAATCAACTTCTCCTTAGTCACTGGCTCTTTGCAGAGATCAAAAAATAGATCCAAGAATCGTTATACTGCTTATAGACCCTAATCAATCTTCACCTCAGATTTTCAATCATTTGACAAAGTGCTAACAGAGAGGTTAGACAAGTGCATAACTCCTTTAGTTAATCCAGATCAAGCAGGTTTTTCAGGCCATCAAGCTTTCAACTTCTACTACACATCATTGATTCTACTTCATCTCAGACACAAATTTAAGTTTTTTTCCTAAAATGCAGAAAAAGTCTTTGAGTGCTTAGAGTGGGATTACGGTACCATATTCATGGTCAAAACTCATTCTTTCTTGCTTTATGCTGATGAGGTATTATTGTTCTGATCAGAAATTAACATTTTCATTTCTAATACATTTTGGGTCCTTGGGTCAAGTTACAAAAGAAATTATCTCTACCTGCTCCACAATAAGAATTGAGGGGTTTTACCTACCTCGGGATTGATTTTAGAACAAATCTGTCACTGATTGTAAAAGCAAACTTCTTTTCAGTTCTTAGAAACATGGGGCTAGGGCTACTGCCTTTTAAATGAATGCAGCTCCTCAAGTAAACTTTCTACTCTCCATTACCTCCCTCTGTATCCATATAAGATTTGGACCATTACTGTAGACACTTTTGTGAAGAAGAAAACATCCTTAGATCAGGCTTTCTGCTTTACAGCGTTCAAAACAAATTTGGTGGTTTATCCCTTCCTTGATCTTCTATTGGATATTCCCTGGCGGAGAACAGAGCGTTCATTCTGTGTACCCATTCATTTACACAACCTTTTATTTTCAGCATTTCACCCAAAGAACAACAATTGTCCTGTGGGACCCATTATGTCTCACACCATGTCTGTATGGTGGCACACTAAAAAACATGTATCCATTCCACAACAACACTGTACTTTTGTCTTATTCAGGGCCATACCTGCTATTTTGCAGTGGGCACATACTGTATATGCATATGTTTTGGCATTGGTGTGCTTTTTATACTCTGTGGATGTTTATCTTTCATCATCATCATTATCATTATTATTGTTGCTCAATTGTTTTATTGAATTTGTTATATTGTATTTATTTTTGTGGCGTTTCTGTGATCTAAACTCAATAAATAATTGTTCACAAAAAGAAAAAGCTTTGCTTAAGTACATTTGATTTCTTTTCCCAATGTGTCCAACAGATTTAATTAAACGTTAACCTTGAAAAGAGCCTTGCATAACAGTGTTTTTAAGGAAAATAGTAATAGCTTTGACAGAACACTAAACCTAACCTTAGTCCCACGGTAATATTGTGTGAAGTAGTAGCAATAAGAAATGTTTTACTTATACAGTACTTACACAAGATATAATTTTACTGCATGTACAAGTTGTGCAGGACTGGAGCACATTACACATTGCATGTCTTTTACCTATTCATTTCAAGATGAGGTGCCCAGAGGAAGGCTGGAAGCAATTTAATAAGTTGCCATACATTACCATTGAAGCCAGACCTTTCACAGCTTGTAAAAATACACGTTTCTCTGCCAGAGGCCAACTCTGCTCTAACACAAGTGAGCTCCCTCCAAGTGCTGGGATGTAGCAGATGAAGAACAAACTAGGCTTGCATGGAAGAAAATAGGCCATGCATGAACTATAAAACAATGGGCCCCAAGGCTTAGACATGTAAAAGGCCCCTCATCCCTTGGCCTATGCCCGCTAGTCCCGTTCAGTAATCCATTAATGTTTGTGATTATCCCAGAGTGGAAGAATTGTTGCTTCTCTTTTAAAACATTACCAAACACAGAACTGCCTCTTGTCCATTTGGAAGGAGTTAACTGAGTTTTTAGGGAACAACATGATGCCAAGTGTGATCTTTTGGCCATATAGTTGAATGTCATAACAGACCCATCGCAATTTGGACATCATTTATTTAAATTTCTCCCATCTGGCAGGTGCTAAAGAGTAGGGAGAAGTGAGTAGACCATTATCTGTATTTATATCAATTCAACTAACTAAATTATCTGTATTTGTATCAGTACTCGGACCAGGTTGGGAGTCTTAACTGGACGTGGATGGTGCTTAAGCTGTTAGCGGGCATGACTGACCGGAAGTCAGCCTGAAATTAGTTCACCCAAAGTTTCAGTTTTTAGTATGCATGTTTACACATTCTACTCTGAAGTGATAACTATAAAGCCATTGCATTTTTCCATGCAGCATCACACACCTGGTATTTCAACTGCTTTCAGTGGTAAGCACTGAAATGCTGTTTCAATCAATAATATCAACACTTAAATCAGTCATGATTTCTCAACAGTTCCGGTAGTAACCCTTAATCATCTTTTTTGTTCTGTATGTTGTACATCTTCAGTCCACCAGTACATACACATTAAACCACCTCTACATATAATTTATTATCCATACAATACTTATTCCAGCAGTTCTTACACTGCCATGCACTTTGCACCACTTTGTAACAATTTGACTTGTATATACAGTTTGATGTCCAGCTCTTACCCGTATATGACAATTATACATTTGTGTTTGAATATGTGATCTGTGTTTAACTGTATGTCTATATCGGTATCCTTCGTTTTATTATCTGCACTGTGAACTGGAGTTGTTTCTGATTATTCTATATACAGACAGGTGACAAATTAAAGGAAAAACCTGACTGAATGAGTGAAGAAAATGATGTGAACCAGAGATCTATGGGAGAATGGAGACGGTTCCAGAGATTAGGAGGTTTGCGTTGGTTTTTCCTTTAAATTGTCATCCATCTGTGTGTACATACATTACAGATTTTTTCTCAATTTTTATAGTGTATTTCTGTATTTTGACTGCAGCTTCTCTCAGAGGCATCCTATCACCCCACAAACAAGACCAGAGACAAAAAGCATTTATTTTTCAGTCTTTATTACCAAAAATACAATGGCAAAGTAGTGACATAAAGTCTATGAAGTTCTAAAAATAAATAAACATAAAGCAAGCATCACACTCCTGAACCTCCATTACAAAATATGAGCAAAAATACACTGATCAGGACAGACATGTTCTATCTTCTCCACATCTTTGGGCTTAAATGCACACAGCTCATTTAGCTTAAAACCGTCAGTTTCCTCAAATATACTGGGAGTAAATAAGATCAGAGCCAAAATTATATCTAAAACTTTATTTTTTTTGTCTAGATTGTTTTTTTTTTTTTTTTTACAATATCATTAAAAAATAGATTTTATCTTTTAAAAAATGTCAGTTTTATGGTTCTGCAGTCTTCATCTACAGTATGTACACACTTAAAATACAGTACCAAGTGTTTGAGCTCATTACTAGGTAAAATAGCAAGTAATATAAGAAAGGGCTGTTTCACATTCATGCTTTGTTGTTGTTTCTCTGGCCTCAAAATTGCTGAATGAAACGGAAATGTGGATTTGCCTCTATGGAGAACATACCGAGGTGTTCACATAATACCCAACGTTATTACAATAATAAAGATGTTTGCTTCCGCTATGTTTTGCCTGAATCAACATATAAATCTTTTGCTAGAACATCTGGATACTTGACTGAAGTTTTGGCAGAGAGGTAAAAGCTGTAGCTTCAACACAAATACCTTCAACCAAAAGGCACCATAAACTAAATCAAAAACAATTGGTTGCTTTCAAATATGGCACAAATGTATAGTTGTGTAGTTGTTTGAAATGACTGAGGGAAATGTAACTGAACAAGGAAGATCCGTATACTCTGAAGGAGTTGCAGTGTCTGCTGCCTGTGCTGACACACTTTTGTAATTTGTGACACCAAATGGGATATATCACCGCCAGCAAAATCCCACTTGACCTATATGCTTTTACTACCAGGAGAATGACCCAAGATGCATTTCCCAGCTTGTTGGCTGAACTTTACAGTAATACCAACACGATTTGACTGAAAGGGGTCAGCGATTAAGCTAACCTTCTAAAAATGTCGTGAAATATTACCCCAAGCTACTATGTTGAAATCACAAAATAGTTTGTTAGTTAGTTTGGATCGCTGTTCTCCAATGCATTCATTGCAGAAAGTTTTGAGTTAATTTGGTTACTTTCAATGAACACATATACTGTACAGTCATCGAGTTCAATGAGTTTATATTTGGATGCTATTTTTTGTAGCTTTGTCCACCATTGCTACTGGCGATAATACTGTAATGATCCTATTAACAAGTACTGATTTGGCATCCAAAGCCTGAAGTATTGCATTCCTCTGTGCCATAGAGCTCCACTGTTGCACTGTATGACATGGCTCTACATTAACATGAACATAAGGACTGTAGTTTACTCTGAGCCAATGATCAGTGTCAGTGTTTGCGGCCAAAAGATTCTTTTAAAATGAGAAAAACAAAATCATTCAACATTTATAAACAGGGGAACAAAAAATGAAAAACTACAAAATGTCCATTTTTTGTTTTGAGAATTAAAAAACAAAAAAACAACTTGCAGTAATAAAAGCGGAAAACCAAAATCGACAGTTTCTTTGTTTTATTAATGGTAGATTTTTGGTTCTCATTTCAAAAGGAAAATCCTCTGACCGTCAGTCTCACTTACACCGCCCTGCTGCTGGAAATACTCACCAGTGCACCAGTGTATTAATACAGGTATATTTACGGCTCGTTTGAGTAACATTGGCTATAACCTACAGTGGCAAACTGTTATTAGAAATGATTTAACCTTTTGTTTTTTGTTTTTTTTTGCAGTGAAAGTATACATTTACAACAGGTTTATACATTTTTGTTGGGCTTGGGCCTAGTGTCACCGACAGGGTCAAGAGAGGCTGGGGGATATTTATGGATGGATTAATGCGTTGCTGGTTTTGGACTTTTTTATAGGATTTGGTGGCAATAATAATGTTGCAAGCCTCGTCATTTAATTGCCAAGCTCTAAGAACATAGATAAAGTACGCTAAAAATGCAACGGCCTTATAGTAACGTTAGCATGTTGCGCAAGTAAGGCAGTGGAGTTCCCGCGAATGGAACGGAGTGTTCTGGGCTCTAACAAGTGTATTTCCACCATCATAAAACAGTAGCAATTTTTAAACCCTGCTTTGTTTACATCAGTGTTTACTAGCACACTGCTGCATATCTCAGAACACTACCGCCACCTGTGGATCAGTGGAACAGTGTGAAGCCATTGGCAGGATTGTGTATCACATGACCTGTGCACACGTGCGTCCTCTGGGACTCACTCATAGAGCAACAGCTCCATAGCGCTACTAGGGGGTCAAAAACTCCACCGGGAGCCTTTAACCAGAATTAATTCTTGGAGCTGAATAATTACGAGCTGTCAGATTAATAGAAGATCCCCATACGACAGAGAGGAGAGTGCTGGGCTGTCTGTGTGTGGTCGGTCCAGTCTTTAACTCTCACTGCTCATTAACACGCATGCCGCGTTAACCAGGCAGGAGGGGAACTGAAGTCCCACTTTTATTTATTTAATTTTTTTTCACTCAGACATATAACCATCTAATTCTGGCACGAAGAATTGTAAATTAAAAGCCAGACAATAATTACCTGCTTTGATAATGAGAATTCCTGCCCAGGTAACAGGTCTGAGATACAGATTTCATTTTGTTTTATCCACCATGCTACACACACGTGCAGACTGAATGAATTATGGATATTCCATTTTATCTTAATTTCCTCAGCCTCTGTCTGTGTGGATGTAAGAAAAGGGATGGCATACTGATGAATTAACTTGACAGTGTGTGTGCTGCATGGCAGAACTGCATGATACATTATTTGGGTTAAGGCTTTGACACTCAGTGTTTGGTTTAAGAGAATAATTTATTTTGCCTTATCTTCAATCTATGTATAATTTTCTGTTCAATTCAATTTTGTGATGCTTCAAGAGCATTAAAAATCAACACAAACGCATCGTTTTTTCTTTTACTTTGTATTCCGAATGAATGGCACAGTCTGAATTAAAGTGCAAGGGATATTTAGATTGTTCCCAACATGCATCTGGGTGACTAGATAAGTTAGATTCGTGCCAGTACTCCTTTCCCCTTTCGTTCGTTTTTCTGCACAGTCAGCATCATTTGAGACATTAGGGTTCAATTTCTCTCCTTTCTGCATGAAAAATAATTTCCACACAGCAAGACAATCCATCACAGTAAACATGAAGCCTTTGTAGATCGAAGTTTGCGTTCATTACACTGTGCAGGGGGTTTATACATATCAGAGCTGCAGTAATTATATTACACTCCTGCCTTTAGGCACATGAGAGGACATGGTAGGACTACGCTAAGAAACCCTAAAAAACGCGTTGCCTTCTGAGCTTTATTTTTACATCCATGTCTTATTTTTTTTAGGCATGTTTTTTTTAGCTGGGACAGCAGTCATTTAAAGTTGCATTTGACACTAGTCAAAAGAAGTTTTTAAAAACACTGACCAAAAAAAAGAGTAAAGGTTATTATAAAAATGTTATTATATACAACATAAATTGCATGGGATTTAAAAAAAAAAGAAAAAAAAAAAGACTATACCTTCCATGACAACTCTTAAAGTGAGTCTAGCACCACAATCACAAGTAAAGTGAAGGTGTGATTCAATGCAGTATTCCTGCTTTCAAATATCTAGGCACCATTCAATTCAAATAAAAAGCCAAACCTATGCCAACTTCCCTTTTTATCATTCCTTTTGTCAACATGCCCAAAACCAATACCTCTCGCCGGCAGACAACAACCAAAATCAATCCAAGACTGATTTCCACTTTGCTCTGGTCAACTTCCACTCCTTTGAGAACTATTACTTTCTCCTCTAAAGACTTTATGATAAATTATCCAACGAGTAAAATTACAGTCACGCATACAAACAAAACAAAACAAATGCGCAAAAATAACAAACATTTGCCTTTTTAAACTGGCATAACGGAAACTAACATGCATAAAAGTAAACTGATAAATATTCAATCATATTCGAGCAGTGATACACGCCTTTAGGCATTCGTGAATTTGTGCATGTACCTCCTTAACAAGGCTAGAGCCTCAATTGTGTCGGATTAAATACATTAAATATTACAGTAGCGATAAAAGAGCTGCCTCATGGTCAATATATGAATTAGACTGGAAAATATGTCAATCTTTTTTTTCCATTTCTGGTGAGGGATTGTGTGGTTTTGTGAGGTATGAACTTGTCCCTGTATAGTGAAAAAAAAAGAAGAAAAAATTCAGACTTGGGTTAGAGCTCGGACTTGGCCCTTGAACTCAAAATCACTCCCCTCCAGACACATTTTGTGTCTCTTTATATGTCAAATATTAACGACTTATAATATCGTTTTTTTGTACATTTCTGCTGTGTCTGCATTGGACAGCAGCCTCACAGTTGTACCCCTCTGACACCAAGCCGACCACAGAACATTCTGAACAGTGACAATCAACTAGATGTGAAATGCTTACACCTTGATATCTGTATCAAAAGCCTTGAGGTTAAGACACACAATGAAATACTTCTGCGGGCAGCAGATCACTGTAAGAGCGCAGGGACAGTGTTAACAGAAAGAGAGGGAGGGACGGGGGGGCACGTCTCACTCTGCTGTTTGGAGGCTTGGTTGGGCTTCTGGCTGCTGCTGCTCCTTGTTGAGGATGATGCTGATGATGTCTCCCTCGTGCTCCTTCATGTGCTCCATCAGCCGCTCTTTACTGGTGGACTCGAAGCCGCAGATACAGCAGCAGAACAAGAGCACGCAGTATTCCATGGCGGGACCCGGGACGGGGGGCTGGCCTGTGCGTGGCTGGCTCTGGTTCTGAGACTGGAGCTGTGCGGGGTCCCTCCCCTGGGGGCTCGGGGATTCACCGGGCCACTGTGAATGGTCCGTGGTGGGTGTGGGGAGGGCCCCTGAACTGTCTGCAGCCAGACCGGCTGCTGTTGTTGTTGTTGTTGTTGTCGTCAATGTGGGTGTTGGCAGTGGTTCCACTGAGCCCTTTGCTTTGTCCTTTGAGGGCGGGGCCACCACCGGGCGCTCTGCCACCGACTCCAGCACCGCAGACAACTTCTGAGGAGCTCTGAGGGAGATAAAGGATGGAATCACCAACAGCAACAGAGCAACAAGATCAGACCGAGTTGTAAATCTCACTCTTGGCAGTGTTGGCCAATGAGGAATATATTTTAACTGCCTGTGTTCTGTTTTACTTTTTTACACCTGCTGGGTGACAGAGGCCAATAATCATTATCCCTGTGATGAAGTGCATATTTGTAAGACAGCAGACAGTTATTGGAGTTATGTTGCACCTTTCAAAATATGAACTAAAGATTACAGTGAGGAATTAACACATGTTGAGGTTAAACTTTAAGAAATAAACCAGTGATAGCATAATCAACTAACCACATCCACAGCATGTGTTAAAACATCGCTGTGCCTTAACGCAATGAAAACCTTTTTATATGCAGTTCACATATGCTATTCAAAATTGTTGGACAATTTCAGTGGATTCCTTTTTGATTCATTGGCTAAATATTGTCCATCTGCTCATCTCATTTGGGAATGTTGTGTGTGGGTCTTACAGGGTAGAAACATCTGGACCCTAGGGGGAAACAAGACAACAACACTATAGAGTACAGGTATGGATTCTTTCCTTCTCTTAGGAAGCCCTGCATAGTGTAGTCTGTCTTCACATACCTTCCTATTTTTATTGTATATGGTTATTAAAATTAGAGAGTACTCGCTGTGCTGTGGCCACGACCCAGGGACTGCAGACAGGAATTTTAGCTACATGTGGCTACATGATAAATGTATTATGCATTGTCTAACTACTTCATTCTAACTACTGTTAGCTAGATTTAGGATTTTTTTTTTAGTGCTTGTTAGTACCAGTGTGAACGACATCCATCAGTTTGTGTTCACTGAAAGGGTACATGAATAGAGTGCAATATTTAAAAACTTGTAATACGGATTTAAAGCTGTGGGCGTCAAATAGCGGCACTAACAGAAACAACATTAAGTGAATAGACTGCGTCTGTATTAAAGACCACCACAACCCTTGTTGTCAGACAGTACACATTACCCACCACCCACCAGCTTGCTGCCACTGAGTATACTAGAGATATTTGCAAATCCAGTAATGAAACCTGTGAGAAACTCAGAGAACAGAAACCACTATACTTGAGTTCATGTGTTTACCGGCTGCTCTGGGAGATGGCCTCGTTAATGGCTTTGTTAACTTGCTCATAGTTGTAGTTCTGGTCTCCGGCGTGCTTCCACATGTGGGATTTGAGTGATGGTGGATGACTGCACACATAGCCACACAGAGAGCACCTGGAAGAAAGGGGAGGATAGAAGAGAAACAAAAGGAGAGAGGATGAGCAGCGGAGTGAGAGCGGATCAAGTGGAGGTTGATTTAATATGCATACCGAGGTTGTACTAATCCTTCTCCTACTTTCTATCAAGAGGAATCATCCTGACTCAACACTCCACAGGGGACACTGAGCTTGAGAGACAGAGACAGAGTAGAGAGAGACGAAATAGGATTTGCAGCGCACTGGTAAAGTAATTTGTCAAAATGAAAAGAATTATGGATTGTGTCTTTATTAACTATTCAAATGCTTGAAGTTGCAAATATCATTTAGGTTGAAGAACTCAAGTACGCTTCTCCCATAAGAGCAGGTTCATCAGAAAACTAAAAGTGAAAGGAAAATCAAGTTCTCAACCAGCCAGTGCTGACATGAATATCTACAATATTGTACTAGGCTGCTGTGAGATGCTGCTTCAAAGTTTTCCAAATGTGCACTCACATTCGGAGTACTACTCAGTGATACAGGCCTGGGTGCCAGATAAAGGGCCCTCCAACCATTTCCAAATCCACAACAAAAATAAATGGAGTCACACTGGTTTATACCAATTAGTAAATGTTCAATAATGTCTCTTGGCTGTTGCTTGGGAAGCTTCACATTAGCCTGTCAGCGATCTCTGCAGTGCGCAGAAGCGCTGACACTTTATTTCTGCGACAAGTTCACATAAACCTGACCTGCGTGGGGCTGCTGCAATTGGACTTGCCTCTTGGCAAAGATTAGTGAGGATGGCGAACATTGAAAGGTTCACATTGAAAACAATTTAATGGACTGATGCATTTGTCTTTATTTTAGCCAGATTATACAATCCTAAACCAGTGTTTATTTTGCTGTATGCATGGTTGCTAATATCAGGAACCATCACAAGTCAAGTTCCTGTGCCCAGTGCCGCCTGCTAGAACAGCATGTCATCTTCTACCACATCAAAGATTCTAATGTTTATTCATTATATCTGATCATTATTATTAAGTTTATTTATTAATTGGCCCCTGGCCTCCTGTCATTTTTCAAAAGTGAACCCAGGCAAAGCAGGTCTTGCTTTTAGTTGTTCTACAGACTTAGAAGCGGACTTGATCACACTGAGCAAAAACAGAAATCCTGGTGAGCCAGTGACTTCTGCTGTAAGTCTAGAATTAGATGGTATTTTTATCTCCTAAAATGAAATGCTTAGTTTTCATCATTGTCTTTAAGATGTGATCAGATGTTTAGTCTGGATGGACCAGCTACAGTCTGACACCACCAGAAAAGCACAACACTTTTGGAGTGGACAGTTCGATGTGACTCAAGTCAGTGTTAATAAAAAACTGACTATGGTGCGAGTCCAATTCTCTCTGCGTGCTTCCATCTTTCTCTGTATTACACAACATTTCCTTTCTAACAAAAAATATTTGTGCTTTTAGAGGTTCTTTTTGCTTCATGCATAATGTCTTGAATGCTTGAGGGGTCAGAAAATAAAAGGACTATTAATCACCACAAAGAGGCAAAGAAAATCCACTGTCAGTGAATTCAGCCCATCTGCATTTACCAAAGTAGTAATTCCATCACCCAGCCTTTGGCGACCAAAGTCAGTCCAACGGTCTGTGCCTCTGCTTCTAAAAACAATACAGCACATGGGTAAAAGGAATAATCTGAATTATATCTTTGAAATTTCAGCAAATGTATTAGTTGTCTAATTATTAAGAAGTTTAGGCAACAGAGTCTTTGCAACCTTTAAAGTGGAACGCCACCAGTATTAAACATAATTAACTTGTCACGGGTGAAGTACTCAGTCTGTGAAAACAGTTGTCCTCTTGTCAAGTCAGAAAATTCGATTTGATCACTCTAAAGACATCGTCAGGGTTATCACAGCTTGGCCAAGGAGACTACAGATTTAGAAAACAAAGTATGCATTATAAATAGAGTTTGAAAGGAGGAGGGGCTGATGAAGAGAAGCCATTAGCTGCAGTGTGGGAAGTGTGAGGGGTTTTAAACTGATATTGGATACTAATGATGCTTTCACACCTAACTTGTTTGACTTCAAATGAATACTGGTGTGTTCCCCTGTGTGACTTCCTTCAAGCTGTCAACTGAGCTCGGCTGCACACCAAGCAACCAAACCGAGAGCACTTTACCATTATTCATGCCATATGAGAACAATTGCATATCTGGACTAATATTGATCATAATCACTTTCATCTCCAGAGTTTTTGCAAGACCATTATGAATACAGTTTAAGACCTATTTTATATCCTGGCAAAAAAATCTAATAAAATGCAAAGGATGAAGGAAAAGCGGTATTGGTTCCATGTTGGTTTCGTTTTGTAGTTACACCATGATCAATACATATTTTCCCTAAAAACAAAATTAAAACTTAAAAATGCAGCTTTATACAATACAAGTAATGTTAACTTCAATAATCCAATACATTTTTAGGACGTGTCAAAATCTAATAAAACATTTTAAAGCCTAGAATTCAGATTATTGGATTGGACTTTTTAAGACCCGCAGACACCCTGTTCTCAGGGAGCTCTTTTTGACATCAGAGGATACATAAACACATTGGGTTTAGTACAGTGCAGCATGGTGTCCATGTAGTAAATGAGTTACCTGAAGACCTAAAAATCTGGATTTTTAAATGTCTCTCTCAAGTCTTCTTCACTTCATGAAAGTGCAGTGCTAAATAACTTGAATGCCCTTTTTAACAGAAGAACGGCAGTGTCATTTCCACCGTATGGAAACATAGACATTGCAGCACTGCAGGTAATGATGACGTATTTAATACAGCACAAGCATTCAGTGAAGTGGAAAACAGCAATCAGTGCCTCGCTCAAGGTTGAGGATATTTAACATTTTAAAGAGGACAGAATATTCACCCTCATTCACTTTCTCCACCCACCAAACCCTGGCGTTGCAATCAGAAGCCCATTTTTCAAGTCTCCAGGCTGCTGGCGCCATGAGAGAGCACGTAATGTGGACAAACAGTTTCAGAGCCTCTACCAAGACAACCCCAGCTTCTTTTGGCCCAGCACCGCTCTTTAGTCTCCCCTCAGAGGTGCAACGTACATTCTTATCATCCCTCTCTGTAGCGTATGTGTGTTTGATGTTTCTCACCTGTACTGCTCCAGTAGCTGCATGGCCTGGTGCTCCTGAGGATGCCTCCTCATGTGGCTCTTTAAACTGTTCATGTTGGTGGTGGCAAAATCACAGCTACAGCACCTGGTGGACGGAGAAAGGAGAGCAGAGTGAACACAGAGATGGAGTGGCTACTTTACAAGCTGCCTTTTGAGGTCATTGTGTTGCTGCTTTACACTTGTAGCCAGAAGGGAGATAAGGGATTTACAGTAAAACAAGGAAATTGTCACTTTCAAAAAAATAATACATCACAATGTTTTTACATTGCTGCTTTTTATTTGCTTAGAGGCGAATACGTTCTTTATTTCCATTTGTATAACAATAACAATTCTTAGATATCAGGCTACCTCCAATGCTGTATTACATATGTAAAATATGTAAATAATATATAAAGAAAAAAAACACACAAATGGAACAACATCTAATTAGAATTAAATAGTGCAGCAGCTAAATTATAGGAATACAATATCCTATAGAACAAAACAAATTACTGTGGTAGCCAGGTGAGTGATAGAAAAATACATTAGTAAAATATAAATTTAATAATAAAACACTGTACAAGGTCTGCAGACAGAAGCTAAATTCAATTCATAGCCATTTGCATTAAAATAATAGACAAAACAAAGAGTTGCACTTTATAATGTGAGGTTTACTGGGGCTGGAATACTAAAAAGATAGATCTGACCAACTGAAGAGTCTTACAGCACTTTGTTTCAATAGAGGAACTGTTTAGATCCATTTTCTTATTTAGACTAAATGAAATTATTTATAACCTTTGCATCTCTGTTTTATCCTTATTACCCCTGTATAATTAGAGTTTTATGTCCAGCCCCCTTCCCTTGAACGTTGGGGTTAAACTTTTAGTTTCTACCATAACTCTTACTAAAACAGTTCTGCAATCATTAGGCTGATAGTTGTAAAGCTCAGTACTCCAACAGCACTGTCCTGTGGATGCTTTGGAGAGAAATTGCTACTATATCATAACAAATACATTTATGTCTAATTATTGCACTGCCTGTGCTGGAAAATAAAGTGGCCTTGCCTGAAGGAATTTAAAGACATTTTAAGGCACTGCTTCCAGCTTTGGGCAGTTAGAGAGGGCAATAGCATGACATGGAAGCAGAAATATGACTGTGGAACACAGTGTGCATACTAATGTGCAGCGGAGGAGTAGATTATGAGACAGGAGTGGCTTTTCTGTGCGATTAGTTTTGTTTACACTAAGCAGGTGCTGGCTGTAGTTTCTTCTCATCCAACTTGAGTGTGTAATTTAAAGCAATAGTTTGAACGTTTCCTGAGGATAGCACATTAAAATACTAATAATACAGAAAACAAGAACGATTCCAACCTTAAATCATCCCATGATACTGGTCAATGACATTGACAATGTCCTCTTTAAAAACTACCTATTCTCTTTATGCACAGTACACAATCAGAGTCTTATGAGTAACTCAGCCTGGAATTAAATGAATCACAATTTACAAGCCAGCTAGTAAAGCCAGTAGTTAAACTCACACTGTCTGAAACACAGAAAAGATGAGAACTATTCACTGACCACCAACTCTTCTACACAGGATACATACAAGAAGATTCATACAAGCAAGTGCATACCAACAGCCTGTGATAGTTTGTCACCTTCTCATTGCAAATGTGTATACAATAAGCAAAGGTGTTACCTTTCCAACTGGGTCTTGTGAGAAAAAGATTCGAGATCTTTACCACCTGTGAATATTTAAGTTTATCTCACACTGAAAAAAGCCTGGTGCCTGGCATCAGTACAGTCACACAGAACTAGAAGAAGCACTTTATTTGATTTCAGTGATGAAGAGGAATGAATACCAATGGAGCTTCAGTCCCTGTAAGATAATCCCGACAGGAATTTCTGCACTCTTAACAAATTACAGCACTGTTAATAACCAATGAAGGAAGGGTTAAATATCAGCATTAGTCCAGTCTGTGGTTGGCCTTCACACCCTATTATTATGCTATCCAAATATGAGGAGCTAACAAAGAATCAGTTGCCTATTGGGGCCTTCAATTCCACTAATTATATACTGTAACTCCTAATAAACTACTGCACAGGTGTTTGAGCAGGGGACTGTGTGCTGCTACACAGCTGCTGGTGTGCATTGGCACATTCTTTGTCACGTTGGCTCTGCACTACACAGTAACCATGTCATTATCCCTCTGCGCTGCACTTAAAGCTCAAAGTCCTCAAAGTTTTATTTTAAATCCAACAGGCTGAGTGCAGAGACAAAACAACAGAAAATGTGCTGTGGTCCACACTGTATTTCTGATAGATTCAGATGTAAAGGTTTCTTTTAACATTATTACGTTGGAAATGGATAGGTCTACATTTCAGTATAAATGCATTCCAGCTAAAAGAAGTACAAGAAGGCACCAGAAGTAGGTAGACACAAAAGTGTTTGCATATGCAGCATAAGTACATATCACTGAGTGTCTTTTGGCCATGAAACTTGCTTCATTCAGGCATCTACAGCCATTTTGTTTGTTGCCCAAGTTGGAATGTTCTCTTGTTTTCACCTATTTGAATGGGCTTGTTAAAGCCCCTGTTGGGAATCTTTATTTTATGTTGATTCTGGTGGCCCCTGTGGACAAAAGTGGTAGTGTTTCTACCGCCTTGTTTTATAGATTTCAAGGGGAATCTGACCAGATCTCAACCAGTGGCAGGCATTAAGAAAAACTACATGGAAACAGCCAACCTTCTCACTGATGGTTTTCTTTGTTTACATGGTTTATATAGAGGCATCAGTATTAAAATGTAGGCTGTTTTATAACAAGTAGTTTTTCAAATACTTATATCTGGATCATCCAGTATTTCCTATTTTTGCACTTACACCATTTGTTAACAGGATGGTTGACCAGTCTTAGAAAGAGCAATTAGACACCACCTGACCTTTTCCAGAGTCGAGAGAAACCTGTTCTGTGCGTATCTCTGTATATACATTTGGCTGCAGCACACCATTAAGAAAGCTGACGCAAACACCTGTATGTGTTCACACCTCTAGGCAGCTTTGTGTTAACACAAAGACCGAGTGCTAATACAGAGCAGTGGAGAGACACAGCCAGGGTGCCGTGTGAGAAATGTGTGACTGTGCATACACTGTGAGATCACTGTGATGGCCACAGCATTGCTGGGCATGTACTGCCATCTAATGCACCTTTCTAAAATGACAAGAACAGCTCATGCACATCTTGAAGTAAAGGCACTAGAATGGGAACCGGCACATAAAAAGCAAGGCTCATTGACTGGAAACTATTTGGTTAGCGCACTCTGCCTGAAACAGGAACTGAAAATGCAATATTTACTGACCACTTCCTGAACTCAAAAATAGTGGCAACAACATTTTAAGCACACATTTAATTTAAATTGTACTTTTAATATGTAGACACAAACAAAGGATTGCAGCCCTCTGAAACTGATAATGAGCTTATACCCCGTTATCCCTGATAAGAAATGTGCAATCCATCTCCAAAAGTGCAGAGTGGTGTCTACTTCGTTAATGTGCTGTAATTACAGCTAAATGTCATATGTAATTTCTACAACTACCATTAACATATTCAAATAATAAAACACAATACGCCAGCAAAAACAAATTAAAGGAGCAACTGGACCGCATTTAAAACGTTGAAGTTGACATTTTGTTTGTCGTAAATAACAAAATCCCAACCTTTTAAAGCAGGAAGAACAGTGTGTATGTGCTGTCAACTGAAACTATAGTCATGGCTGATTTGCCTGTCAAACAAATACTGTAATAAGAACAATATTACCCCACCAGGCTTAGAAAAA